TACTCTCAAATAAATTCTGAACATCATCAAAAGATTGTCTGAATACAAATACATATGAAACTTGTACCCAGGTAGCACAAAACATTTTCAAAACATTTTATTGCAGTTATAAAAATGTTTTTTCAAAACATTTCAGAGTAAACATTTTTAAAATGTTTTAAAAACATTTTTCTTTCCCATTGTAACATTTTAAAAACATGTTAAAAATGTTTTTAAAAAGGTTAAAGTAAAATCTTTAAGGAACATTTCTAGAAAATGTTTTTGAAATGTTTTAAAAATGATTCCAAAGGTATGTCTTCTTTACATATATCAAACAGTTTCTTATTACGTTATAAAAATGTTTTTAAAACCTGAAATAAAACATTCCTCTTCTACATATATGAAACATAGTAATGTTACGTTTTCAAAACATTTCGAAAGAACGTTGTCAAAATGTTTTTAAAACATTCTCAATATTGCTTAGAGTTTGATATTTAAATGTTTCAGTGTTGGTCGTGAAAATGTTTTTAAAACATTGAACAAAACGTTTTCTCCTCCTACAACTGAAACATTTTATTTATAATTTATGCAACATTCTATAGAAACATTTTCAAAATGTTTTCAAAAAGGTTAAAGTAAAATCTTTAAGGAACATTTCTAGAAAATGTTTTTGAAACGTTTTAAAAATGATTCCAAAGGTATTCTTGTTTGCATATATTAAACAGTTTCTTATAACGTTATAAAAATGTTTTTAAAACCTGAAATAAAACATTCCTCTTCTACATATATGAAACATAGTAATGTTACGTTTTCAAAACATTTCGAAAGAACGTTGTCAAAATGTTTTTAAAACATTCTTAATATTGCTTAGAGTTTAATATTTAAATGTTTCAGTGTTGGTCGTGAAAATGTTTTTAAAACCTTGACAAAACGTTTTCTCCTCCTACAACTGAAACATTTTATTTATAATTTATGCAACATTCTATAGAAACATTTTCAAAATGTTTTTAAAACATTTATATCATTGTTAATATTAATGATTTGTTTATTTTCAAAGTATGTTGTAAAAATGTTTTTAGAACATTGACTATAACGTTTATCCTTTTAAGGACTAAAACATATTATTTAGCATTGATGCAATATTTTGTAATGTAATTTCCAAAATGTTTTAAAAATATTCATGACTAACCCAATTTTTTCCCGAGAAAAAATATTATCCCTGTATTTTTCTTTCTTTTTTCAAAAATTCTTATTGAGTTGACAGACATGTAATCAATACAAAGTTCACTGAATAAAGTAAAGATACTTTAATTTAAAAGAAAGAAAAAATAATAAGCAAACAGTTTACAATAATTAACACAGCCTGATTTTTGACGTCGATCTTGTCTGTTTGCATCATATTTCTTAAACTCCAAGACAGCAGATTAGGAGTGGCTACACTGGTCAGTTTCAGTGTCATGATAACCTTGTTATGCAATTCTCCTGCTGGGCAGCGCGTTAGAGAGTATAGTGGTTTGCAGCTTATCTAGGCCAAAATTTGAATTCTGGTAAACAGGATGTGTGCGTTTTCTTGTTGCTGATTTTCAAACAAGATTTTTGCATCATGTAAGCCAGAATTAGCGCTGGATTATTAACACCTGCTTTGTGAGTATAATTTCTTCAGAGATTTCAAAAGATAATTTTTAAAAGTGACTCTTCTGTTACCAGTACATTATTTTATTTCTGAATACATGTATACATATGAGTAGCAGAACAAAGCTATTATGTATTTGAATTTGAATACTTTAGAAAACAACAAATATGCCTCCTTGTCTTATGTTGATCAAAATTCAAAATATCTTATTATTGAAACATGAAATCATATTGCAGTTAGATGACAGTTCCATCAACAGACTTGAATTTCATTCAAATAGCCACGTTTGAAAGATCCGCCTCTAGCTGATAAAGGCATGTTTTTGTACGTAAATATCATTGCTCTTCAATAATATTATTGTGTTTTAGTTATGAACATGCAACAACTCTAATTCTTTTCATTAATGCAAATGGAAAATTTTATGTGATTTTATTATTTAAAAAAATGTTCGTGTACATTTTCATTATTTAAAGATCTGATGTAGACGGATGACTTTAACACTGTTGCCTCTATGTTTACAGGTTCTGCTTTACAGAAAAGAGCTTCTTGTTCAATTCTTTCCTAGGACAGACTTCTTGTGAACTTTATTAATGTGTGCGATTCCATTTACATAATAGGTAGCTGATCCGCCGCTCTGTGGAACCTACACGTGTACATGTAGATACCGTATATACTCGCCTATAAATCGGTCCGCCTATAAGTCGGTTGTGATTTTTGAGGTTATTTTGGAAGTATTTGCCATTGACCCGCCTATAAGTCGGTACAACTTTTTGCCAGGATCGGTGGACAAATTCAAATCAATGCTCTAATGTTTTAACATGTGTTTCAAATAATATTTTGAGAAATTACGCCGATATTTTATCTCTCTTTTGTCTTCTCTTATAAATTTCATATCAATACTCTAATGTATTTACCTGTGCTCAAATAATATGTTAGGATATGACATCGGTAGTTAATAGTTTTATTTTTTAACAAATCAAACCCATTCCATTTGAGTTTTCTTTTTTATACTGATTTGTTTAAGCGTTAAATTCCTTGTCTTGTATATTTTTATACACCGATCTCGATCATAGGCGGATCTCGGTCTCTTTGGCATGGTGAAGAACTATGTAACGAGGCTAGTAACATTTTGATGATATTTAATTAGGAGGTGCTCAATGTCCAAGCCATATCTATAGTTTTTAATAACGCTATGTTTGATCTTTTATTAGCAATTATTGTCTCTTAATTACCTGTATCCCTTACCTGACACCGTGTTTATTTAGTGGCACGCGCCCCGAGAAAATCGTGTACTACACATGGGAAGCATTTTCATAAACAATCGAGTTTTAATAGCCCCAGAATAATATTCTGAATTATTTTTTAAGAATATTATTTCTGTTGTGAAAAACATTGCAGACGGTACATATAATTATACATTAATGCTGAACGTATTACCGGTATATCGGGTTCGCAATTCAATTTTACCGACAAACGATAGATTTACAGTAAGTCACAAGTTAATTAAAGAAATATTTTTGTTTATAATTAATCAAATAAATAATATACACTTAAGATCAAAATGAAATCATTAAAACATGTAAATACTTGTACTTTATATATAATCTTAGAATACATAAATAATATAATACGTCCAGACATTTCTCAACGATAATCGTCGAAGTTGTGTTAAAAATACTATATTTCGTCGTCTAGAAAAATACCAAGCTTTTGATGACTCGCCTATAAGTCGGACATAGAGTTTTGGACCAAAAGTTAACTCCCAAAAAACCGACTTATAGGCGAGTATATACGGTACAAGCTTTTTGCGGGATCGTATATGATAACAGTGATCTAGGCCTGTTTATTCTTTCTAGTTGGAAGGATTTATGTGATTCTGCTGTTTTTAAATTCAGAGAATGGATTTTTTCCTTTAAAAATATCTGTTGGATTAAAACAGAATAACTCAAAACTTGTACTGGAAATAGAACTAAAATATGTGTTTCATATTAAATAAGGATTTGTATTAAAATTTGTAAAAAGTGAATTCATTCAGATGTGATTAATTAATTAAGCTGGAATGTATGAAAAGCGCTTTGAAAAATCATACAAATGATGTTGATATCATTTAATGAAAACGTTAAGTGACATTTTAGGAAAGAGATGTCATTGCGACATTAGGGTAAAATGTTTTAAAAACGTTTTAAAAACCATACAAAATCACGGGACTAAAACATTTTCAAAAATGTTTTCATAACATTTTAATAAAATGTTCTGATAACATTTGCTGAAACATTATGCTAAAATGTTTTAAAAACGTTTAAAAAACCATACAAAATCACGTGATTAAAACATTTTTGAAAATGTTTTATTAACATTTTAATAAAATGTTCTGATAACATTTGCTGAAACATTATGCTAAAATGTTTTAAAAACGTTTAAAAAACCATACAAAATCACGTGATTAAAACATTTTTGAAAATGTTTTCGTAACATCTTAATAAAATGTTCTGATAACATTTGCTGAAACATTATGCTAAAATGTTTTAAAAACGTTTAAAAAACCATACAAAATCACGTGATTAAAACATTTTTGAAAATGTTTTCGTAACATTTTGAAAATGTTTTAAAAACATTTTTAAAATGTTTTTGTGCTAGCTGGGTACATGTGAAATGAAACTTGTACATGTGAAATGAAACTTGTACATGTGAAATGAAACTTGTACATGTGAAATGAATACATGACTTGATCGATGTGTTTCATCTTCGTTGTGTATAACCTAGAACAGCAGATAAATGTCTATTTTTAAAGCTTAAGGGGGCTATTCCACAGACCTCCACAAAACATTTACACGCCGCGATTTTACCCAAAAAGCAATAAAACCAACAACTGTTTTTGCTATTTTATAATAAATATAACAATCAAGACAATCCCAATATGTATCAAACAGATTTATGAATGATTAAGGGACATTTTTGATCCAACGGAAGGTCAAATCATCTGCATTCCATTGCAATCAATACTAGTAAACATACAAAATGATAGACATTTCGCGACATGATGACCTAATTCATGTTTAATAGAAATAATATTCTGATGCAGGATAAACTCCTCGATTTCGAAAGTTGTTAAACGAAATATAAAAACCTTGGCCACCGTTTCGACCTTAATATTCCCAAACCTCATTTCTCTACCTTTTATAATGAAAATTATCTTGGATCATTTAATTGTGTTAACAGCCACATGTTACATTATTCAATATACATAATCCAAATCATGCGATAATAATGATAAATTGAAGAGGACATTCCCTAAAACCAGTTTGAATAAGCAAACGACACAAGTATCGCTATCGTGTATTTGACATGCATTCCTAAGACAACCAAGTTTGTTTACGTTTACTGCCGATATTCCTCCATTTTTAAATCACCTTTGACACATATGTGCACACTAGCTGAATGATCAGAGCCACGAGGTCTGACACATCATTCCTTTAAGAGACAGGAGGTATTCTGTATGTAAGGTGTACTTTTATATAAAAAAGATATAATGCTTCTTCTTTTTTTTTTTATCTTCCTCTTAGGTTTTTCATTTGAGAGTTTGAACTATATTATCTATTTAGTCATGCATGAACTCTCGTACGATTGTCATTCCATTTCACATTCATTTCAATAGTTGCTTTGTTGATATAAGAAACCTTGATACATTTTATTTATCGGTTCCATAACACCACTCAATTCAATCCTTATGCACAATCAAGAAATAAACACATAATACATTTACATGCAAAGTGCATTTCAAGAAAATCAAAATTCTCTATTAAGAAAATCTGATATGATTTGTGGAACATAGGAATCAAATCCACACACTGTCAACGTCAGGGGATCCTCAGTGTCTCCGATAGAGACATCGGAACAGGCCAAATTACAAACAACAAGTCTGACTTCTTTGTTTCCGGTCGCTTGGCGATAAAACTGCAATGCCTGAGAAGGATGGGGATTTCCTAAAGAAGCATTTGAATCTGTGTAAATAACGAAAATGTCGTATTCTTTTTTTTTCTCAATTGCGTATTTGAATGGCCAAGAAGGATCAGCTGGGATGTCCGTCATTGGATGAGCAAGAGTCCTTATATTTTCTGTTACCTCTTCTATAGTATTAGAAGAACTGACGGGCAAAACATCCACATTTTCGCCTTTGAAAACTATAGCTTCGCAATTATTTTCCGTTTTTATTGCAAGAGTCGACATAAAAGCAGCAACTTCCAATGCTTGTAATGTTGGGGCGCCTACTACATTGACACTTTCTTCCATTGCTTTACTAATATCCAATGCTAGTAGAAACCGCTTTTTTGTAGGTTTGATGTTAATGAAGGATAAGTACAATCCTTCTTCAAGTGCAGAGCAAATTTGCGGATATACTGGCCATTTCAACTTTCCCGAATGGTTTTCTCCTTTCTTATATTGACTTAGAGCCAACATATATGTGAATGGATGAACCATCTCCTTAGCAAGGAGTTCTTTGTTTTTTAATTTATCAATGATCAAATGCTCTTCAAAACAAATCTCCTCTTCCGCAGAAGTTCGTCTTTTGAAAAGTTCCAACTTAGACATTTTCCCTAAATTTCGAACCAGGGCTGTTAATGGCATATGTCTCGCAAGAGCCAGCCAAATACCAATGTCGTTTAAACATGAGGTTGGCAATTGTTCTCTTACTAGCCTGTGCTTTAAAATAAGTCTCTTTGTTTGAGCGACATCTTTTGTAATCTTGGCAATTTCTATTACAGAAAGAATGTCAACAATTTCTTTCAAAAGTGAGTTTTGGAAATGTTCTTGCTCCATTTGCTTCTGCAGAAATTTGGTGGAGTCTGCGTATTTCTTACCTTTCACTGCAACGATAACCAGATACTTTAAGACTGGATTTTCCTCCTTGACCTTAAGGTGAGCTAGGCGAATCACGTTTTTATGACGCCATCCGTATCTTTTGCAGTACTTAGTAATGTGAAGTGCGAGTAATTTTAATTTTCCTTCGTCAGTACCATAACTAAGATACCAATCACAGATTGCCTTCCGATGTGCACTACCCCACCCTTTAGATAATAATTGTGCAATACCTATCTTTTTGTAGAAATCAAGAAATCGGAAAAGTTGAGTAGGAATTCTACATATTGAATTTAGGGCACTATATCCGGATTTTTTCGTTTCAATGTCATTCGATCTGCAACAAATAGCTAACACAAACAGCAACGGGTCATCTTTACGTGTCCGATACCCCTCTGAAAAATGAATGAGAAGCTGGACAATATTCTTTCCTTTACCCTGCTGTATTAATCTGAAAAAATAACAAAACTTGTTAAGGTGACCTCCTTCACAAAGAAAGCGATATATCTTTCAGCATATATTCATTATCCTCTAGTATCACCAAACCCTTTAAAAACCGAGCAATTAAGAAATATATATAATACTGACATATTAAATCAAAGGTGTCAAAAAATTTAAATGAAATAAAAATAAAAATGAAGAAAAAATAAATATGCATATAAAGAAAGGAAGATTTAGAATGGATTTCATAAGAGTTTGACCAATTTTACCTAAAATATGATAGATTCTATACTATCTGAGATGCTAAATAGAAATAACTTACTGAGAAACACAGGGTACATCTTCAAGTCTCGGCTCATGACTTCGTACCCTGTAGTTACGACTTGATGAGCCAGTACAAATGAAACTACGAAGTTGTCCTTCAGGGTTATTTTGATAAACATATCCTCCAACTTGGTTTTGAAGCTGGTTTCTGGAAATTCGTTTATTTTGACTATAGCAGTCATCCGGATCTGCTTGTAATCCAAAACATTGGACAGGCTCAGTTAAATCCATCTCCGTTACATTATCGGAAGCCATATTTAGTTTGGAAAACCCATAAAATGTGTACTTTCGGTTTGATATAATGACATATTTTTATGGGCTTGCTGTAAAATGTGGAGGACGGAGGCTCCTAAATGGATTGTCAGACGGTGCAAGTGGTGGAGCATCTTGTTGCATTTTATCTTTTTTTTTTTAGGCCTGTGAACTCAATTTCTAATTTTCCATGAGAAGTTCTTAGTGTATCACATTATCCAAACAATTAAATGATAATTCCTTTGAATTTGACTCGATGAATCTATTTTATCCCGAAACTCAATTTGTGTAGACCATTTGACAATATCTTTTTGGGTGTGTAATGAGAAACAGCCTGGAAACAGTTAATCAATTTATGACCTTCACATGTCGACAAAGGAAACAGCTTTGCTTTTCATTAAATTTTTTTTAAGATAACAGAGACTGAATGAAACAGAAACGGCAACAAAATTATCCTTTAGTGCATTGCTGTCATTTTCTTTTCTTTTCTCAGAGGAGGAGAAAATATCAAGAAACAACAAGATAAAAGAAATTCAGTCCAAAAATGATTTCTAAAAGAAAAAAAAGGCATGCTTCAACCTGTGCTTTGATTTATCTTTTTGTTAGATAACGAGTGCAACAGAAACAAAAGTAAGATTTGTGACCCGCACTGCTATCTTAAAGAAACTCATGAAGACTTGACGGATTTAATTAGGTTTCAGTACCTTAAAACTGAGTGAAAGATAAAATAGTCAAAAGTGTTAAAATAGACAAAAGGGGCTCAATCCCTTGTACCCTGAGAAACTACATTTTGGAGCCTCCATCCTTCGCATTTTACAGCAAGCTATTTTTATGGTTCTCTGCTCAGTTCTCTTTGGTATGAAACAGCTATTTAAGAGGAGACAAGTTTTTATCTGAAGAAACTTAGCATCTTGAAGAAATAAATGAAACAAAACATTGTTAATTTTACATGCAATGACACTGTAGTACAATGGGAAAGAAAAAAAAATAGTTAATGTGATAGACATTTTTTTTTTTTTTTTTTTTTTTTTTTTTTTTTTTTTTTTTTTACAAAAAATAGCAAAATGACGGGAAATTAATTAAATCAATTCATTACATTTCAAAATGTTTTTCATTTCACATCAGATATTTATTAATTTAGGATTTTAAATAAAGTATTACAAAAAAAATATTCTACAAAATGGTAGTGCGTAAGATCCAACCACCAATCGTATAGAGTTTCCGGATATTAAATATAAACAGCACCAAGCATGATTAATAAATATTGAAAGGTAGGAAGCGAGTAACTTTCGCTTCGAATGCGCTACATTTTGTGAAAGTGCGAATGACACAATGAATTTTTTTTCTCGACATCACAGCACAAAATCTTCAGAAAATATCGGCATCATATCTCATGACAAAGATCAAGGGTATCAACATGTGGAAAGATTACGATCAATGTATCAGAGATCCTTTAGACATCCATGCTTATTACATTTGGGTACATGCGACATTTGTGTTCTTCTTCTTGTAACAAATATTTGATTTTAAAACTTTACTTTCATTCCTCAGATTTTTATGCCCATGGTTAAATTTATTGTGATTGAACTGATGCACAGAAAATTAATATGCATGAAATGCACCGAAAGGTATGCTAAGTTGACAGTTTTGCTTAAAAAATGTTTAACATAATATTTATTAAATTGATATGTAAAGGAATCACAATGAGTGTTTGCTTCGTTTAACATTTTAGAGGCCGTTTTTTTTTTTTTTTTTTTTTTTTTGTTTCTTCATTCCATTGGCACTGGAGGATTTAGAGGGGAGACGTTGAAGTGACAAAAAAAAAAAAAAAAAAAAAAAAAATCATAGGTTTATTTTTTTTATTTAATATTTTTTTTATTTATTAGAAAAACAATATAAGGTAAAATAAGTTACAAAACTATTCCTTAAATCTCCTAAAACCATGGTTTTCGTCCCTTGGAGCCCACCTCCCCTCTCCCAACCGGTCGGTTAGTCCTTTTGCAAGAAAGGTTCATCCCATATTCGGTAATAATTGTATCAAATAATGATAAATATAAGTATTGGGGTATTGAAACGTAATTCATTCCTAATTGTGATTAGATTATCCTTAATTTTACTAATATATAATCAAAATCCAACTGCATCCGTCGTTCAATATTTACTGTATGTGTCGTTATGCGGGACAGTATTTTCATTGTACGAGTCGTTGGTACATGTAAATTAGGTGCGTTCTTAATTGAAAAGTTCTAAGATAAATTCTATCTTTCTTTCAGTACTCGATAAATGATATAATGCTTCCATATCTTCTTTTTATGTGTTACTACTACCACTTCGAAACAAGAAATTTCAACAAAATCATTGTCAGAAAATCATTCTCATTTACACAACTCAAAATTGAAATATCATTGTCGCTTGTGTTTAGACTGTTTTCTCTGATTAAAATTAGACATGTTCTGCGATTAGACCATTTCTTTCGATATAGAAGCTCGTAAAAGAAAAGTGAATAAAAACTCATTAACATAACTCAACTCCCTATTTACAGAGGCAAAAGTAAATATCATTTTTCAATTTCTTTCTTATAAAAGATTTATAAAATCTTGTCGCTTAGAAAGCGTTAACAATTAAGCGTTTACAATAACTTATCCTCCGATAAGAATTTAGGTAGAAACGATAATTCATTAATTATAGTTTTCAATTTAACATTACTATATTATAGGTGTTATTCATTCTTTTACTGTACGGTTGTTTTATTGTCAAAAAGGCGGTTATCAATCTGATTCTTTTCAGTGTCATAAGATTTATAATTAACAAGCGTTACCTTTTTTTATGTGCAAACAAAATTTAAGCTTGATAGCTATATGGCTCTGTGTGTAACTCATTTTTCAAACTGAATAAATCCAAAATGTAGGGAAAAATAGGCAACAATCTGATATTTTGTTAACAAGCATTACCTTTAACAAAAGTTACTATTCAACATCCCTTGCGTATATACAATATTTTCTTCAATATAATATTTTACTTACATACTAGTATAATGCGTTGAACGTTATAAATAAAAAAAAAAATGTCATAATTTGAACACTTTAAAAGGTCTGTAATAAATTGATAACTAATGAACTTTGTACAGTGTTTATCTTACAATTATAAAGTTAAAATGACTTCATCGGCAAATGAATTTCTATCATGTATCGAGGTACAAGTGAATCCCAGTACCTATTATTGTCCCCCGCTTTCACTGAAAGTGGGGAGCATTAATTTAGGTCTGCCTTTCCGTCCGTCAGTCCGTCCGTCTTTCTCTTTGTCTGTAATACTTTCGTTTCCGCGCAATATCTCGAGAAGCCTTTGAGCTTTAGCAATGAAATTTTACATAATGAAATATATGGAGATCACGAACAGTATTCAAGCTCAAAAGTCCATTAAACAATACAAAATATGAGTAGAACAAACACGGACCTCCAAATCATCAGAGGTGGGGAGCAGGTGCCATGGAGGAGTGAGTATCCCCTGCCGACCGGTCACATCCGCCGTGTGCTCCTTGTCATCATCGGGAAATAACGGAAAAATCCGTCGACAATTCAGTGTGTAAATAGTGGCCTAACAATTAGTATGAACAACGTCAGTTAGCATTAGACTCAATAATAAATTATATTTGCTGAGAAGGTCATTGTATCGACCATAGAACTTACGAAATGATGACTTTCAACGAGACAGCTGATATTCCTGTTTCATAAACTTGTTTGTCAATAATTTACCTCGTTTTAGAAATTGTACATACGTAAAGCATGTTCTTGCGTATCAAATCAACTGAGAGATACATACCCCGTATGCAGTTGATGAAGGTATATCGCTGCATAAGTAAGGGAAGTTGACGATTGAAAAGTTAAAGTCATCACGTTTATCATTATGTTTGGTTGTTAGATTACCATTAACGTCTTATTTAAGTAAAATATCCAAATATGAAAGAGATGTATCAGACTCTTTAGTGTCTTTTATCTCAAGCTCACCGGGATATATCGTATCGACAATCGTGTCGGTCGAATGGAAATAACCATTGTTAATTGACAATACGTTGTCAATATATCTAAATGTCGAGTTCAAGGCCACAGCAAGTGTTTTCTTCTTTTCACGTATAAGGTTTTGTACAAATTCTGCATCATATGAATACGAAAAAAAAGATATACATACATACCAAAATCAATATTGATCTTCCAAAGGCCACAGGGAGAAATTTCATTACAAAAGCTCAAAGGCTTCTCGAGATATCGCGCGGAAACGAAAGTATTACAAGCAGACAGAAAGGCGGACAAACGGACAGACAGACAGACCCAAATTAATTTTCCCTACTTTCAGTGAAAGCGGGGGAAAAAATTAAGATTTTTTTTTCTACCATTACTGTCATTGAAATGGGGTATCAATTTTAGAAATGACTGCACAAGGAAGTGCAAGAAAAGAAATAAAAAGACAAAATTATTCCAAATAAAATGAAACACCAAGACAAATTTTTATTCAAAATCAAGTCTCAAAAAACATTCAATTCAAAGTTTACAATTTTATGATGTAATCAACGGACCAAGTTCATGCAGCGTTAAACCTTGTTATGACGTGGATATTTTCCCACATTGATCGAATATGTATTTATAGAACTTTTCCAGAGCAGTAGTCTGTGATTTTACATCATACCTGATGCGTTTATGCATTTTAAGATCATGTTTTTTTTTAGTTTGTATAAGCACATATTACAATGTTGCATGCTTCTACTTCTGATGTCTCCTCAACTGCCTCTAATATACATAATATATATATATAATATATTTTGCATATCATTTGATAAAAAAATCAGGTAAAAAACATATTCCCTCAATTTTTAGAGGATTGTGCGTTATAATTAATTCCGTAGACTGAGCTCATATTCATTGCAGAAATCAACATATCTTTATATAATTTTGTGGGTGTATAAAGTGTGGTTTTAGCTGATAAATTACGATGGTTTTACACTGTTTACT